CTCTACCTTCAGATCTCACATTCTGGAGTAGCGGCAAGGACTTCATCCCGCTTGACAAGGCGAAACGTGTTCGGTGAAGGAAAACCATGGCCGAACACAGCGAATTACAATCAGAGACAGGCAGATCAAGCTAACTTCAATAACAACAGCTTCCAGTGAATAACATAACAAGTCTTCAAATCCAAAACTTCAATGGAAGCGCTGAAACGGAAAATGCACCCACCCCAACTTCAAATCCAAACCTCCTGTCAAGTTTCCAAGGATTCAAGCATATAAGAACCCACCCATCTCTTGCTTCCAGAGAAATCCAGGTCTTTAGAGCTCGAACACCCACATGAAAAAACTTCAAAAGAAACCTAAGCAAAGCTGCAAAGGGAGCCCCACCTACAGTGACCAAATACTCGGGATCATTCGCAGAGTTTCCACGATTGCTCATAGCCAAACCAAACGGAGAGCGTTTCAAAAGAGTTTTGGTGGAAAATTCTCCCACGAGAAATGAACAGTCGTGGCGCTGCAATAATGGTTCAAAGTATGGGGGCATATCGTATCTTATCTTTTGAAAAAGATAGCGTCCGACTGTTCCCTCAATTTTTTGTAATAATAAAAAAAGCATGCTAAAAGTTTCCCAAAAAATAAAAATTAAAAAAAATAGAGTTTCGGCCAATCAAACAGGTAATGCGACCGAAACTCGTATGTATCGATACTTTGAACCTTGGATCAAAGACAATCAAACAGATAATTCATTGTAAAACAGTAGTGATTTCATGTAGCAAAAAACAAATGCAAATCGTGAATATCGACCATTAGATTTAAGGTGTTTGTGGCATAGTGGAGACAATCATGTTCGTGTTTTAGTTTTCCTTCACCGGTACAGAAAGGGAATTCCGGCCTCTATCACCAGAGGAAGGCAAAAAGTTGCCTTTATATGCAAGAAACCTTTTAAAAATGGACCCAGAAACCAAACCACTTCGACCACCGGTTTTTAGGTTAAACGGTTTAACTGTTTGGTTCAATCCCCAATCGGATGCTTTTTTTTTTATTGAGTGGGGGGTCCAAAACCAGACCTGAAACCAAAACCGATTCCCAAGTCAACTGATCCAACTGTTTGGTCTGATACTTCACCTCATTTTATGTCTTATCAAGCTTTTCAATTCTTTTTTTTCTATTTTTAGTGTTATTGACTTAACCATCGAAATCCACACCCTCAAGATATCACCCGAGGCCTCTCACGTTCCTTTCTGGTTATAAGTAACCCTCCAGCAACTAAGGTCTCCTTGGATGAGGTAAAATCCTCAGCCAATGTGACATTCTTGCCATCTAATCGATTATCAAAATCCACACTCTCGAGATATCACCCGGGCCTCTAACATTCCTTTATGATTATAGGTAATCATCGAACAACTAAGGTCTCTTTGGATGAGGTGGCATCCTCTCATCCAATGTGACATCCTTGCCATCTAATCGAGTTTTTAGCAAATTTTCAATTTTATCCTTTTTGCAAATTTTGGTGCTAACAATTTCCAATTAGGAAAACCAATAGCAGTTTGCGCACATAAGAGCCATCTACACAGATTTAGGAGTTGTTTAGTTTCATTGTTGTTTATTTGATAAACATTTTATGTGGCATCCCCTTGAAAGCGAAAAAATCTGTTAAAACCCATTTTTTAACATTTTTTGACAACTAGGCAGCATTAGGTGCCACATAAGTCGAATAGTGAAAAAACACTTAATGTTGCAAATAGCTTTTGCACAACCTGAAAAAACATTTATTTGATAAATAAATTAATCAAATAAAATTTCAAACTCCTGTTTAGAAAATACCTCATTCGTTGACGTCATTGTTTAAATAAACGACAATATAACCAAACAACATCTTACGCAGATCAGGTTGAATGTTTTGAATAACACGTAAATTAAGTTGGTAGTTTTAGAGTCCCTACTGGACCTTCGTATCTTCTCAACTCCCAAGGTATAGAGAAGGTTGTACAAGTTCTTGGCCTGGATTGGATTGATTATGTTTTAGATATCCAATATTTTTATTAATCCTCGGGATATTCATTTTGTTTGGACTAAAGCTCATTTGTTTATTTGCTTATTTGCTTATTTGTTTATTTGTTTATTTGTTTATTTGCTTATTTGTTCATTTTGTTTATTTGCTTATTTGTTTCAGTGGGACCTGTTTTATCTGCAGGCCAGGGCCGGATTTTGTGGCTTCTTTTTCTTGTGTTTTCTATCAAGATTCCTTGGAGAAATTTCTTTTCATTTATTCTTTATGTTTCCTGTGACCAGCGCTGTTTGGTTCTCTTCGCCTAGGCAGGATCCGTTTGCAGCTAATGACTCCTCTTCTCTCTTCTCTCATTATCCTAGTTAGCTATTATTGGGACATTATATTTGGAGCTTTATGAAGAAATTGGTTTTTGAGGGTCTTCAATTTAATTGAGGACCATCAGATGCATCCTGTTTGTGTCCTCTTATGTGATGGAGGAGTAATATCTCAAATGTGTGGTTCATTTGGTGTTGTCCGTTATAATACTCATGGTTTTTAAAATCGAAACGGTGAGGGGTTTGGTTACCGGTCAGTCGGCCTGTATTGACAAAAAATTAAATTAAATTTAAAAATAAAATAAAAATTTTGAAAAATGGTCAAAATTATTTGAACGTTTAACCAGCTGATTAGCGGTTTGTTGACCAAAATCAACAGTTTTGGGAAAAATGGAACCAGTCAGGTGATTGATTCCTGGTTTTTCTAGTCCGGTTTTGAAAACCATGATAATACTAATGGCTTTTTTTTTTTTTTTTTGCCCTACTTGATACAGGATGGTGCTTGTGGAGGTTGAACTTTTTGTTGTTTGGAATAATTTGCTTCTGGCTCATGATTGTGAGGTGATAATGATTAATGAATGCTTTGAACACGGACCTGAATGGAATTCAGATTAGCTAAATGCTATGCCTGTTCTATAAGATCAATGATGAGATTTCACACCAGTAATAAATTTATGGACTTCATTGTAAAAAATACAGTTCCATGTATTTAAATAATGGTGTGGAATCTTATCATTGGTTCCACAGCCTGAAAGCCATGGCATTCAGCCAAACTTTCCTTGCCGGTATGATCTTTCCTTGGTCCTGCTTAGAGATGCTGGATAAGATTTTGTTGTTGAAGAAACATTTTGAGTTTGTTTTTGTTAATAGAACTTTTACAATGCTTGGCTAGGTGAAGTTGTTTACTCAAGACTTATTTTGGTAGGATTCTTCTCCCACTAGTTATGGAACTTTTTTATTTTGGACAATATTTTATATTTAGTGATAAAAACAAAAAAAAAGTTTTATGTATAATTTAAAACTTTAGGCTGTATTTGGAAATTATGCAAATATGTAGTGTATAACGGTTCATATAAATTGTAAATTTGGGTTAGTTTTGCACTAACAAATTTATCTTCTTACCAAAGAGACTTTTAGCGGTAATGAATACAAACATAAATTTCAATAAAGCATATAATTTTTTTTATCAAAAGTCCATTTAAATGCAAATTTACGATGTACTTATACATGCAAAAATGAACCAAAGTGCAAATTTACCCTCAACGGTAATTTACACTTCATTTGCATCGTTTCCCAACACAGCCTTAGAGAATTTATATATATATATATATATTAATCAATACCTATACATCGGCCTTACTTTACTAATTAGTGAATAATACCAACATCACATCAACAATTTCAAATAATCACACATTACACATCACACATCATACCACCAACACAACTCATCACAATTCATCCAGCGTAGCAATTGGGCTACGTTGGAGATTTTTTTTGATTGTCATAGGTTCAACTCAGACCGCAACACGCATTGACTTTTATAGGAGCGGAGCTGAGAGGTGGTAGAAAGGTAGTATAGATCCCAACACTTGTCCATTTTATGTGTAGAGGATATTGATATAGATCACCAGTCTCTTTTGTTTACCCGTCTCCGGAAGCTTCCTTCTCTTGCAGAGACAGAGGATGGTGCTACAGACGTCTGATCTGATCAAGAACGAGCTTCCCGTTGAGCAGGAATCCCTGATTCTTTCTGAAGATGTCGTGACTGGTCTTGTTCTCGTCGATATCATTAATGGTTTCTGCACTGTTGGAGCTGGGAATCTGGTAATGATGCCTATCCCTCCATCCTCCACCCATATGCTAGCTGTTTCTGTAATTAAGTCCATTAGTTTCTGGTTGTTTTTACTATTGCTTTTGATTGAGCAACAGACACAAAAAGGGGGAGAAAACGTTTTCTGTAAAATGTTTAAGAGATACTTTTCGGTCTAGTTGGTCTGTTAGTTTGGATGTTATGTCTCTATCCTGTACTTTCTTACTCGTCCTTCAATGAATCATCTGATCACACACCCCCCCCCTCCCGAAAAAAAATAAAATAAAATAAAAACAGAAGTGATAAGGAATTTTAGGTCTGGGGTTTTGGATGTAATTGTTGGAAAATAGAGAAAACGAAGAATTGGTTGAAAATAAACCAAACTTTTACAGTTTTGAGTTTTTTAGAGTAGCAATAGTGACGATTCAGCTTCTTTTTTTTTTTTTTTGGTAAAACTGATAAGTGATGATTCAGCTTTGTTCATATACATGTTTTTTTGTATGAATTGTTATTTATTTTTATGATTCTATGCCTATTACAGGCCCCAACAGAGCCCAACAATCAGATATCCATGATGGTCGAGGAAGCAGTGAAGTTGGCCGAAGTGTTCTGTGAGAAAAAATGGCCTGTTCTGGCTTTCCTTGATTCTCATCATCCTGATAAACCCGAACATCCATACCCTATTCATTGTTTGACTGGAACAGAAGAATCAAATCTGGTCCCAGGTGCTTATTTGTCTTCCTCTACACATATTTTAGTGATATCTCAACTGTAGTTAACTGATGTTCAAGGGTAGACGATAATAGTCTCTGTCCAATCTGCAGCCCTGCAATGGTTAGAGAATAAACCAAATGTAACAATTAGACGCAAGGATTGCATTGATGGGTTTATTGGTTCATTTGAGAAAGACGGCTCAAACGTCTTTGTAGATTGGGTAGCAACCAACAATATCAAAGTTGTAAGTGTTTCTGCAATGAAAAATCCATCCTTCATCATGCATAGATACTATAAAAACTAAAAAAGACAATCTAATTCATTATTTATGGTCCGTTTTGTTCACAGTTGGAACCGGAATAGTCTATTCCTATAGTTTGTTTGATTCAGACAGGAATCGGAATGGGAATTGGAATCAGCTGGAATGGGATTTCATTCCCAAAGTAGGGGGAGGGAATGGCCATTCCCTCAAATGGGGGAATGCCATTCCACCAGGAATGGGAATGGGATTCCGATTCTGCCCAACCAAACAGTTGGAATTAGAATGACCCATTTCGATTCCGATTTCAGACCTCTATTCCCGCGAACCAAATGAGCCATTAATTTCACTTTAGCGTACTCTATTTATTCTCTTCCAAATCAATGGAGAAAGAGGGTTTTGTTCAAGCAAACTAACACTGAGTGTGTGAAGATACTGGTTGTAGGGATATGCACAGATATCTGTGTGCTAGCTTTTGTTGACTCTGCGTTATCTGCGAGGAATCATGGTCTTCTCCCCCCTCTAGAGGATGTGGTGGTGTATTCCCGTGGTTGTGCAACATTTGATATTCCATCTCATGTTGCAAAAAACAACAAAGAAGTTGTAGCTCATCCACAGGTACTCTCAGAGTGTGCTCTTTATAATCTGGTGGAATGCCTATAGTTGTTCATTTTGATTGGTTACCATGTTGTGCTTTCTCCTGGTAGAATAGTTCTTTGTTCTTCCATCTCTAATGTGAACTGCAGAACAACTAGAACCCTCTATATCCCCAAGTTTTGGTTGCCAAATTTTACTAAGTTACACCATGCATATTTCACATCTGATTAGAGTATAATTCATCCTTTAATTTCTATATGTGATGGTTATATAATCAGAGAAATATTAAGGTTTACATGTATCAAGGTGCATGCAATTTATCAAAACTAGCACTGAAGCGTTTACCTGGGCATTCCTACCTTCTCTCTTTTTAAACCTTTGGTGTATATCAATGTGTAGGAACATTTACAGTTAGTCATTGGATATATGGAACACAATGTCTCCTCTGGTTATTGCATTCCTAAATTTGTTATTACACACTCTTATTGCATTCTCAGACTCTTTACTTATGTTGTGAACCTCTCTAAGCTTCTTGGATTTATGGCAAGTTAGGAGCAATCAAATCTATTCTTACCTGATTAGACTGATAAAGTAGATGAAGGCTTAGCTCAATTTGGAGTTTGGACATCCCTTACTGGAAGTGGCTTCCAAACCCAATTCCCTCCAATCTAGGGGTGTCAATGGGTTGGATTAAACGGCAAACTTGGCTTGACCCAATCCTATAGGGTTGGGTTAGGGTTTTGATTCTCCAATCTAGGTGGGGTTTGGGTTTTGCTGGTCCATCCTACTGGGTCATAATACCCCTACATATATAGAGGGTATTCTTGCAATTTGGTATGATTTCTAACCCCATAACCTTAAATTTTAGGATTTCTTTTCATGTTTGTTTGGTTTTTCTTTTTCACTAAGAGGAAGTGACACTTCGAAACCCATAAACCAAATTCCAACTTAAATTAATTAATCTTGGATTTTCAGAATATGTTATTAAAAAATACAATTGAAAGATTTTGGGTTGGGTTGAGTTGGGTCGCTATTGGGTTGAACCCTATGTGGTTAGTTTTGGGTTCAGGTGGAAACATTGGAGGGTTGGGTTATGGTGGAGGCAAACCTGTACCAAACTGGACCTGTTGACATGCCTAGCCAAGCCTTCTTCAAACTTCATTTCAGCACTGCTTGTCCTAACACAACCCCAAACGGATTGAAGCATTTATTTTTACCACACAGCAGGAAGTACAAGTATTTCTACCATTACGGTTCCAAAAACTATGATTTTTCTTGTTTTTCAAGGAAGAAATAGGAAAAAGAACTTAGTACCCTGTCTCTTTGCTAATCTTCCTTGTATCATAAGAGAACAACTAATATGTATTGGTATACATCTCATCAAATTATAGCACATCGGTACCAACTACTAAGAGTTTTCGTTGCAATTTTTCTCATACGAGGTCCAGGGAAGTGATTGATATACCCTTTTTAATTAGTAGATGTTATGTATGTATGGAAACATAAGCATTTCTATCTTCATGGCAGGAGTTAACACATCACATAGGCCTATACATTGCCAAGGGAAGGGGAGCCAAGATTGTGGATGAAGTGTCATTTAAGTCCAACGAAGGAGCCATGATGTGCTTCCAAGTTTAGCTGCTTTTAAGTCTATCCCAGTATCCATGGGATGAGTACTGTAAAATCTAAGGAGATCCATGTTAAATAATCTTTTGGGTTGAGTTGCCCAAAAGAATGTATATAAAATGCATGGTTGGCAAGTTCTTATAAGAGCAAAGTACATGTATTCTGATGCTAAAACTGTAAAGAGTCTAATGGCTGGCCCTTTGGTTAGCAATTCAGACCAGTGATAGACATATATTTTATTGATAAAAGGTTCTGTATGTGATTAGCTTGTGGTTTATGACAACACCTACATTTCCTGCCTAGTGTAGATCATTGTTCATCTTGTATCTACATATAAACTGAGTCCAGCATATTGAGAACTTAAAATGAAGGCATCTCTCCTACTCTCATGTACATGTATACAAGGCAAGCAGGTGTACTGGTTATGTTTTGCTTTTTTATCATCTTTTATTCCCTCAAATGTGCTTTTGTGTTTTGGTTTCTCTTTCTCCTTGTTTGTGCTCTTATTCATATGCTCTCTGGGTAGAGGTTGGCTTTTACACCTTATTAGAAAAATGGGATTCCGGTACGTGGCAGTTAAACAGTTTAAAACCGGTAGGATTATCAGAAACAGGAAAAGAAATATGTATCCTCTTAAAAATGAACAAAAATAAAATGAGATTGAAAGAAAGAACCCCAAATCAAATCAATATACATAGGAAGTCCAGCTTTCAGATTCCTTTACTATTTTTTCAATGCTGGATTCATGCATGAAAATATTGAGTGAGTGAGAGAGTGCAGAGCTTGATATGTTATTAGTTTATTTGTAGGTCATAATCGGCGGCAGGCTGGGTACATAATATATGTCAGACGTGGAATCATGCCTCAGCAACCATAACAGTTTGGTCTAAACAACTCAATTCCCTTTTTCTATGGCCGGAAATTGAGATCAGTAAAATGATTCTCGCCACTTAGAGATCTAGTGACTATTGACCAACTCAACAACAAATACTGCTGCTTGCTTGATGCTATGGGTTTCCCGTTTCCCCAGTCCCCACTATGTACAACTTTCTCTTGGCTAGGATTGCATTTTATTTGAATCCTTTAATCACTATTTACTGTATCTAGCTGTTCAATTTAATTTTCACCGGACTCTCTCAACACAAGCACATGCATAAACAATTACATAAAAAGCAATACATGCAAGGAAAGAGAAATAATGCAGCTTTGGATTTCAATTTTGTACCCTCCAGTCTCCAGTCTCCAGTTGGCAGTTGCATTATTGCCAACAATATGAATATGTCGGTACATCACCATCACCATCACTCCATATCAGGACATAGTGGATGGAAGATGTTAGGCACTCAGGGCCTCAGGCCAAACCTAAAGCCACATGACCACCACTGTTCACCCAACAATCAGTAACATCACATAATTTATGGGTTCCTGAAGTTGGAGACTTGGACTGGTCCACCTAGTTGGTTATCTGTTGTATCATTAATTTTGTCAAGCAACCAAGAACCTCTATACCCTACACTAAGTCACCGAGCATATATTGGAAAAAAAAAAAAAAACTCATCAAGCATATCTACATTCCTTGGCTATCGACTCACGGAGAGCATCCATCCATATGTACAAAAAAATAGCACACACACACAAGACAGACAAGTCTATCATCATAGAAATGAACAAGAGAACAAGGAGCAACAGAGAAAAATAGGTCATGTATTATTTACAGTAGTTACAAGTTAAAAGCATAGATATGCTTTCCATATGTACAGCAATGCTATTTACATTAAAGAATTTGCAATAGACATAGAAGCCTCCTTCCATCTTTCATCATAATCACTTCCAGGAGGAGAGCAAGGGCAAGATACAACCCCAGAACACAACACATTAACTTAATCCATAGTTTTTAGTAATCCTTAAACCAAAGAAGCAAGGGGGTCTTAAGCCCTGAAAGCAACCTCTCTTTTGCCCCTTCTTTTCGTGTTTTTCTGCTCTCATAAGCATTCATTTTGAAACCAAATGATATTAGGTTTAGTAGCCTTGACAGAAGTTGATCCTCCGCTGATGAATCTTACAGCCTCTTATATGCCCATTTCTTTACTGATTTTTTTTTTCCTTTTCTTTTTAGTTTTTTTTATCTGAAACAAGATAAGTTCTTCAAACCAAATGGTAGAAGTAGCAGCAGCATTTCTTTAGGGGGCCAATCTGATAGCAATCACATGGACCCGAATCTCAGTTGTTTTGGAGAGAAGACAGCCATTGTTCCATATATTTTTTGCCATCTGTGAATCAACCAAAATAAAAAGAATTCAGCAAAGAATACAAATTTTAGTTTTTCTCATACTGAAAGGTCAAAGATAAGCTCAAGACAATGCAGCTGAAAGACAATAAGCTTTTTAATGACAATATATAATAAGAGCTAGAGTTTCCGGATCAAAAAATAATAAGCTATTTATTGTATTTTTTTTGGCTCAGTTATTTTCAACTCTAGGTCATTTATGTTGCCGAAAATCTAATTCTTAATGGCAGGKTAATAAAAATGAAAAAGAAATCCACCAAAAATATGCAACATCATGACACAAATGAAACATCAATCTTGAGATGTTACTCATGAAAGGAGAGTTTGACCAGATCTACCTGGGTCCATAAAAGGGAACAATATCCTGCATAGCAGATAACCAAGAAACCCTTCCACACTATTTTACCTCTTTATTTATTTTATTATTTATTACTTTATTTTTTGGGGGGAAGGATGGTGATTTGCTTCAACTGACAGCATCATGATGGGAGTTTAATAAGAGGAGTAACAGAAACATCAACACAGCTGCTGCTACAGTTCTACCCAATCAATCCAGTGGAGAAGATGGTGCTTGTAGAACTTGGATATATCTGATCTTTTAAAAACTAACCCATGCCCTTTTCCTCTTTCACGAACACAAAATAGAACAATGTACAAGAGGAGAGCCTAAAATCTGGGATCAGAGGCTAGAAAAGTAATAGAAAGTCAAAAATAAAAAACAAGATACAAACAAAAAGCGTCATGAAAGAATGCGGTATCACAAAGTATATGTACTTCTTTTACCCCGACTTTGCATAACCCATGGACAACTATGCAAAGGTCTTCAGACACTTTAATAACCTTGAGGAGTTGAAGGAAGCCTAAGATAAGATTTTTTTTTTTGGTGTGAAGATAAAATAATGATATATAATTTTTCACTATCATTGGGCTCCATTTCTTTTTAAAAAACCAGGGATTCAGAATGAAATACGTTTACATGCACAGACAAAGGCATAAAGAGTGAATATTCACCAGACTTGACAGTACAAGGCCGGCCAAACTCACTTGAACAAGAGAGCAGTTCCAGTGGCTTAAAGTCAAAAAGTATATATTAACCAAGTGTAGTCCAAAACATCAAATCTGCGCTATTCCATACATCAGAAAAACAGGAAATAATAACAAGGAAAGTTTCTTTTATTTTTTTGGTAGAAAGCAGGAAATTTTCACTGTGTACAGAAGTAAAGACTACAGTGCAACAAGAATATGAAAACTATTGAAAATCGTGCAAAAAATTGTATAAAAATAAGAGGGAAAAGAGACAAAAATTCCAAATGGAAGAACTCTTCTCTTACCAGCAGAATACCCATTTGGAAGGTTTCCGAGAGCACCCAAAATCTGATTCTTTGAATTGTCCACCATCTCCCTACGACCACGTCCGTAGCATGGAACAAGGACAGCAAAACTGTTCTCTGCCTCATCATCACTCAGGAAATCAGGGGCATGAGGTTCCAACCAGCCAATCGACCAATCCGAATCGTCTGATTCAGACCCTGACAAACATCCACCATCGGGTGGAACCAAAACCACGTCATATTCCCTGTCAATTCTCCGTTCTTCCCGACTGTGCCATTTCCGCTTAATCCTTCTCGAAGTGGAAGACATCTTGCCCCCCTTGACAGAAGGGAATTTCACAGTCTCCGATTCCCGCATACCGAAATCTGATGAAGAATTCAAAGAAGAACCAGAAGATACAGTGGGCTCATGATCCTTTCCACCCCACAACCACCAAGAGAATCGAGTGAAGGCAACAGCCATTTTTCGCCCGGCAAAATTAAATTACAGCACAGATTGGGTGGCAAGGAAAGCAAAAAACTAATGCAGTTACGAAGCGTTTCGGAAGGGAAGATTCCGAGAACAATGATATATTGGTAAAGAATGTAAAAACTTCCAGTATGTTTAGGGCAAAACTCAAAAGAATTGAAACCCGACGGGCAGAAACGAGAGAGTAATTTCTGGAAGCCACAGAAACAATTAATGAATAAATGGGATGATATGAATCAATCCGAGAATAGACGAGAAGGATTGAAAAAAACAAAGATAACCGTTAAGCTTCAACATAAGCAGCAAAAAAGCAATAACCAGAAGAAAATTTCAGACGAAAAAGCAAAAGGGAGGTAATTGAATCATCACATATGAAATAAATAGGAGTTTCTTAAGATTCTTACAAACCCCAAGAAAAATTTCTGCCCAAAGAATCTATAAATCCAACCTACTACAGTTAAGAAAACACCCACTTTTTCTTAAAACAGGTAAACGCAACTTTACCATAAATAGAATTTTCCTTAAAAGCTAAAAAATCAAACAGAACTAAAGCAAGAAACCAAAACGAAACTGAGATTATCCACAGAGCTCAAATACGAATATTCCCTCAATATAACCGAGATAACGATACATGCCCTAATTCTTGGATTCCGCTTAACAAACCAACCCTAAATTCCTTGAACCAAACTCGGAAATATAATCAAAAACTTCGAACTTTCACGTTTTCCTTTCTCAAAAGAGGAACGTTTAAAAATCAACGAATAGTCGTCAAACCAACCCCTTCCCCAAAACTGTTCCAATCCGGGAATCAGAACCCCCCCAGTCCCCTACTTCCGAGAAGCCTCGAACGAGACAGGAAGACGGATAGATCATGGAAGCGAAAAAATGATCGGAACCTCACGATGTTCCAGCCGAAATCGAGATTAACCGAGACCTTCTCCAAGACCAAACTGTGATCTCCTCCTCGAAGTCACCGGAAAAAAAAAAACAAAAGAAAGAAACCCGTAAAACTTACCAAAAAAGAATATAGTTGCAGAGATCAAAACCCTAGTTTTCTCTTCCTCGCTCCCTCCCTCTCTCTCTATATTTCATCGTCTCTGCAAACTATCTCTCTCTCCTCCTTCCCTCTCTCAAAAATCAGTTGACAGCTCGTCGGCTTGCTCTATTTATAGGCGCAGTGGTTTGGGATTCTATAGATGCACATCGGACGGTCGAGATGGTTGACGCTAGAGATCGGCCATTTCATGCCGTCAAATGAATCCAGGATTCTCCAATGATTGGACAACGAGAAAAAACCCGGAGCGAGAGAGCACCACTCCCCACTTTACAAGGAATTTATTATGATTCTATTCTACATTTAGGATTAATCTATTTACTTATTGAGAGAAAAAAATTTGAAAAATAAGAAAAGAAAAGAAATGAACATATGTGCCACGTAGGAATGGGGACCACTAGAGATGCTACCGTACGGGTTTGCTGACGTGGGTCACCAAATGCCCAATCATTGTGTGTGTGTGCGGTGCAAGTAACTGCCACGTGTACGGTTCAACCCAGACGTTAGGTTTTTTCGGTTCCCCCGAGTTTCTCAACGACCACCAATCTGCCTCACCCCCTCCCACTCCCACTGCTTATCTTCTCTTCCATTTTCTTCTCAATATTATATAAAACTAAAAAGCATTTTATTAATTTATTAAAAAAAAAAGATTATAGCTCGGTTTTAATTTAAAACTGTAGTTACTTAGAGCCTAGAGGTACTTAATTGATTCATTCGGCCGAAACAAAGATTTTTTAACCATTTTTTATTTTTAAAATTAAAATATCACGAGCTGATTTTTCAAACGGATAATCAAACTTTTGACCTAAAAACCAATTGCCAAAGCGGTTCCGATGGGTCAGGATTATGTATTTATATATCTATTTATCTATCTATCTTTACTTTGAGAGAAATTATTTATCTATTTTTTTTTCTTTTTTTAATTTTATGTCATTTTTGAAACAACCAATGAGAAGCACTTTCTTAATAACCTAAATAATGTCTTCTCCTAAAATTATTTCTAAACTACCTTCCCCACTATCTCCCGCTTTCTCTAAAATTATCTCTAATTCCTATTTATCTTCTAAATTATCTCTAATTCCTATTTATCTTCTAAATTATCTCTAATTCCTATTTATCTTCTAAATTATCTCTAATTCCTATTTATCTCCAAAATTATCTCTAATTTAGTATAGAGTTTCTTTCCTAAATTATCTCTAATTCCTATTTATCCTCTCCCCTACTTTTTATCTATATCTATCTAAAGAAATTTTGGATTAAAAAATTAAGAATTATTTAAATATTCTAACAATGAAATTATGTAATAACAATTTAAATTATGTTTTTCTAAATTATCAATTTAAATGTTTTTTAAATAATTAATAATATGTAATAGCTTTAAATAAATAAAATTCAAATAATAAATAATTTATAGATTATTTAAATATTTGTCATAACTAGATTTTAAATAGTTAAAATAACGAAATTATGTAATAAATTTAAAAAAAAAATCTTCAAAGTATAAAAATAATTATAACAAAATAGTTAAATTAATAATAATTTGATATATTACAAATTTAATAATGAAATTATGTAAACATAGTATAAATTATGATTTTATGGATAATTAAATTCAATAAACAAATAATAATTTAAAACTTAAATATTTTACATATTATTTAAGTATTTAAATAACTAAATATTTAAATAACAAAATATTTAACATAACTAGATTTTAAATAGTTAAAATAAATAAATTATGTAATATATTTAAAAAAAGCTAAAAGTAGATAAATAAATATAAAATAATATTGAAATTAATAGTAATTTAATATCTTTACATAATATTGTTAAATAATTAATTTCACTTATATCAAGTAATAATTTGAGAAAATAACTTTCAGAAAAGTAATATTTATTAATAATAATTTTAAACTATTAATCTATATTTATTATATAATTATATATACTAAAATTAATATTTTTTGTCTTGTGAAAAATGTATTTTCAATAAGTATGTATAAATTTATTTTGTTTATTTATTTAATAGAAAATTTTCAATAATTATTGGAGATTAAATTACTATTGTTGAAATTTTTAAATTTAATTTATTAGAATGCTAGTTACTTATTTTTTCAATAAGTATGCTAGTTACTTATTAGAATGGACTATGGCGGGTCAGTGTTTTAGGGGTTCAGTCCTTAGTTTCAACTAGTGAATTAGTTTAAGGATATGTTTGGCCTGTCTTTTAGGTAGATCTTTCAATAGTCCAAATGGACAAGAAGACCACTCAGCTTTTGGGGTCTTGACTTTGTAATTTAAGACTGTTTGGTTCAAGTTATGGTCTATCGGGATGTTAAAAATAGTTGATAAGACTATTTTTCAACACGGAATGACCAAAAGTTTTCTGATTTTTGGCCTTTTCTGTCTTTTCGCACATTCATCTATGGGTCTTTGGATACAAAAAAGGGAGAAGGATGGTTTAGCCCAAGGTCAGAATTTGTAGGTTCAAAGTATATTTGGGGTATGTCAACTCGGAATTGATTTCAATTCAGGGGCAGGTATGGGTGCATAGAATGTGGGTTTTTGACATTTTGAATGTTTATAGCTCTGTAGTGAAAATCAGAAATCTGAATTGGGCTTGTCTGTTCTTCTCCAAAAAAAATGGAGAAGTACAAAAAAAAATACGGAGAAGTACAAAAATTACAGCCCCCATAGTCTATTAGTAGCCCCCCCATAAACCACATCCTTCCTGTGGATTTGGCATCAATCCAAGGTCAAGATTTATCCCACCTGTACAATGGGGCTAAGAATTTTGAGGTGGGTTGAACGGTCATTCTCCCAAAAAAATACCATTTTTTAGTCTTTTGAACTTTTTACAGATTGAAAGATGTGTCGTACCAAATACCACCCTAGTTAATTAGCTCATAACACAACAAAAATAGTTGGGTATTTGGATAGGGGTGACCATGAGCCAAGTTTCTCACGAGCTATTCGAGCTCGGTTTAAACCAAGTTTCGAACCAAGCTCAAGCCTAGTGAAGCTCGGCTCGTGAGGCTCGCAAGCCTAGTATAATAAATAAATTAATTTTTATTACATACATACATACATACATACATACATACATACATACATACATACATACATACATACATACATACATGAATACATATATATATACATGCATACATACATATACATATACATATAAATATAAATATATATAATAAATAATTTATATAATAATATTTTTATTTCTTATGTATAATAGTAAATAATTTTTATAATTCTTATTTTTTTGTATGTAAACAAAATTATATGTATATTAAAAAAAAACAAAAAACTTAACTTGCAATCGAATTCAAACTTACGAGTTTTGAACCGAGCCGAACTTGAATCGAACTCAAACCTAACACAATTTCAGCAAATTGAATTCAAATAACCAAATACTCGGCTCAATTCAGCTCGAATCCACCCCTATATTTAGATACATCCCCTTTTCCACTAAGAACATCTCAAAAGGTGATTCCTTATATATTATTATAAATATTATAAGTTCTCTTCAGTGGTGATCAAAGTTTCCTCATCTGCAATAAAATATGGATTGGGTCCACCCCATTTTTATTGTATTGGACATAAACCTTAGGGCTGTAAATGGTATCCACTTTTCTGAATCCGATCTGATTAAGGCAACCTGAATTTGGTCTATAATTTTATTGGAACATATATATTCATCCCAATTCCCAATATTAGAATACATTTATTTATATTTATATAAATATCCATAATTTAACAATAAATATGACATTAAATAATGATAAACAAGACTCATGGAGCTCAATATAAATGTCATTTTCTCGTCTTATTGATAATATATAACATTTTGATAATTTTTAGGCCAAATTATTTACTATATACAATACCCAATTTTGGTCGGAGTCTAATCTAGATATGATGGATAATATTCAATTTAGAACCAAATATCAATAGATTAAATATATTTTGATCTAACATATCGGATTTGAATATTCGGATCCATTCGCAACCTTTTACTTATAATATATAATATTATTCTAATCAATTCTTGCACCTGAATCCAACTCGTTTCCAATCCAAAATATTCATGGATGGATTTTTTTTTTCTAACTAAACTTAATTCGAATTCAATCCATTTGCAACCTTACAAAGAATTAAAGCCAAAGGACTCGAATTGAATAGGTGCTTTCATCTCATTGCTATGCTTTTCTTCTTTTCTTTTCTTTTTTTCTTTCCTACCTTTTATTTCAAACCAAAAAAGCCAAAAGGATGGAGAGAGGGGAAAAGTTGCAAACCTTGAACCAAACTTTGATTAATCAACTAATGAAATGACAATTAATGACCATATCAATAGTTTACTGAGGCCTCGTTTGGTTTGCAAGAATGGGATCTGAAATCAGAATTGGAATGGGCTATTCCGTTTCTAACTGTTTTGGTTGGACAAAATCAGAATCTTATTTCCATTTCGGCTGAAATAGCATTCCCCCATTTGAGGGAATGGCTATTCTCTGCCCCTCCCTTGAGATTAAAATTTTATTTCTACTAATTTTAATTTTCATTCTCATTTATGTCTGAACTAAATAGATTATGGAAATAGACCATTCTAATTCCGATTTCGACTAAGAACCAAACGAACCCTGAATTCCCCACATTCTTTTCTCCATGTATTTATTATTTATCTTCACAAAACATTGGGCCAATCTGAGAAATAAAGACAAATTCTGTGAGGGTTGATGCCACAAATACAGGCTGGGGTCCAAATGAAAAGAAAACCCATCTGCCCATGCCAACCCCTAGCCCACCCCGTGACCATTAAACTCTAGAAGACAAAAGAAACAACAAAAACAAAACAGAGTGAGTTGGTTTATGTCGGGAAGATATTATGTTCATCATATGGGGGCCATTGATCATAAACTGCTCCAAATTATAAAAAGACAAATATCAAATCAGGGGTGTTTTGATTAATAAATGGGATTTAGGATTGTTTAATA